CCATTTCCAGCACATCATTTCCAAAGATGCAGGTGACAGCTGCTTTCAAGTCACAACAATTAGACCAAGCACACTTCCATTTCCCCGTCCACTTGAAGACTCGTTCTCAGAAAGATTCACCCACAGGAGCCAAGCTCAGTTCTGGTCCAGTCACACATTCATCAGCCTGACTCTACAGAGCACAGCTCTGGCAGACGCAGACTTGACCATGGCATCTGCCAGTCTGTGTGGGCCTAAGGATGAGACTCTACTGATAACCATGAATTCTGAGGGCCCAAGGATATTTATCTTCTGCAAGAGGGAGGAGAAACTGCAAGCTGGTGCTCACCAGTTCTCCTCACAGCAGAGCCCCTTCTTGCATTGACAAATCCTATACATTCCACTGCCAGAACTGATACACTGCTCTTCATCTTCCAATTGTGAGGCTCCAAAACACCCAGAGATGCTGGGCTCCCTTAACACAGCTGGGCTCAAACCCAGAGGATGATCTAATTGGCCAGTAGCCAGAGAAAGGCAAACATTCAGAGATACAGAATCCACATCAAATAAGACCAGGGCAGGAGAAGGTCATAAAATCATGTGGAGGCCACTAAACCACAAGATGGTCCAGGACAACTTCAGCTGGAGCAGCTCCAAGCATTTCACATCTATGCTTTCATTTTGGCAGGAAATTGTGATGTCCGCTACATAAAAAATTGACACCCTGCTCACAGCCTGTGAGAAAGACAACACCACTAGTCCAAACCCCACTTCCTAAATGAAGCCAAGCACTGCTGAATGTATCTTGACTAATTTATCCCCCAAATACACCCAATGGGAAAGCTGCTGCATATCCATCATTTATGGTGATAGCACCTTGGGATAATGTGCCAGAGTCTGTTTCCTTATCTTGCTGCTGTCTAAAGTGGGTGAGAGGATTAGAGAAAAATGTAAACAAAGTTCCTAAAAGGAGCTTTGCATACTAGGTGCTCAGTTATTGCCAACTAAGATATTACTGGTAGAATGAATATGCATGTGTTAACACTTCTGCTTTCAACCGAATGCTTTATTAATTCTCTGTACTGGGAGATTCTGTGCTATCAAAAATAGTGTTATAAAAAGTCAACAGTGAGCTTTTAGAGCAACTATATAAATACAAGCACCGTTTTCTGTTTTGCCAGGGGCAGCAGATCTCATCTGATGTGTTCACAGCCCCCAAGGAAAGCAGCAGCCATCTGTTAAATAAATAACTCATTAGGTGAAACGCAGGGGCTTCCGTGAGATTAACTGAAAAATCTGCTGCAGCTCGCTGCCATCAGTTAGCCAATAAACACAGGCAGCTAAGGAGAATGCAGACATCGAAAGAATCCAAAGGATCCTACGCAATGCAAGCAGAGAAGAGACTCTGGATGACCACAGGTTTAAACGTCCCTATGTCTTAAAAGAGAAGACTTACAACACAGCTGCATTACAGTTATGAAAAGCTCTAGATTAATGAAGAAAAGTCTTTATTTATATTAAACTACCACTTTACCTAAGTGACTAGAGAAAGGGAAGTAATGCACCACTGAACACTCTCGTTAAGAGAAAGTCACCGTGTGGAATATGTCATTAATATCCAAGAGCTCCAAATACATTCAGAGCCACTTAACACAATGAAAGAGAGTTTCCTCTTTCCTTGACAATTCAGGAAACAGTTCAGGATCATACCAAGTCCTTATGAACATTAATTTCTCTTGCTATTTTCAAAACAGTCATAAATTCAGGGAGGAAGGGGAGGAGAAATAAAAAGAATTAAGGTGTGTTATGTACATGTGCCAGCTCACCAAAATGAATATGATCATGATGCATTTTAAATATGTAGTAATAAAAATTGTAAAAATTAATTAATCTGTGACACTGGACTGTCATTTGTCTTTCTCCACTCTCTGTGGGAAAAAATGTACATTTTACTTTCTGGCACCAATGCCTCATAGGTAGTAGTTAAGTGTACTTTGGTGATGTTCTTCAGATGAGACAGATAAAATAGAACTAATCTGTTTATGAGCAATAATCCCCATGGGAAATCACTCCAGGGAGCCCATGGTATACACGTCACCTTTGAGAAAGACAAACCAGGGTGTCATTTCTATGCTGATGATCTCCAAGCCCCAGTTCTACTTTTTTTTTTCCAACACTGAGAACCCGCCTTAACTTGCCTGCTATCTCCCTTATGCCTAAGAACCTCTAAGTTATGCTAAGAAGAGTTCACACTCAGAAAAACAGCAAAATATGAAAAGAAATATCAGGAGGATAGTTTCCAATAGCAACATACGCGACAGAGAAAGACTGAAGTGGATGTGAATGGTGTGATCCTTTACTTGCCACTGAGAAAAAGCATGGCAAAGATGCTGATATACATACAACATCATAAGCCTTGCGACTGTCTGATAAGATAGTTAGTGCTGATGAGTGTCCTTCCTGCACAATCTATACTCAGTTCCCACTCTTCCCTACATGCATACTCACTGGGATTCTACCAGACCCCAAAGTTAGCCTTGAGGGCATTAGAGGAACTAACTAACCTGGAAGTCAGGAGACCATTAACCACTAATCACCTGAGTACATGGAGTGTGACATGTGTCTGTGGGCCTCAGCTTCCTCCTCGGAGAAGGGAGAAGGGTGGAGGAAGGACTGATTACATCATTGCAGACTTGATTCATTTAATTTATCTTAGGTGTCCACTGTGGCCATGGACCAAGCTTTAAGTTCCTTGTCTCAGCTTTCTCACTGCTGAAACAAAACACTCAACACGCAAGTTAAAAGAGTGGGTTTTTTAGCTCACAGTTTGTAGAGATTTCCATCCATCATTACCAGGCTCCAAGGCAGGGTGTCTCTGCAGAGAGGCATTGCAGAGGAGAAACAGTTTATAGTGGACAGAGGGAGGCAAAGCAAGAAAGAGACAAGACAAGCCTCTTTCTATCCTTACGTTGTATCCAGGCTACTGGGATTAGAGTGGTGCCAAACCAATCACTGGACTGATGTAGTAATCACCCACCCTTAATCCCAGCACTCTTAATATTAGCATTGCACCATGAGTCAATCACACCCTTTAGATCCAGCTACCTCTGAAAAAGCCTTCCGTGCTTTAACTGCATGAGGCTTTGCAGGGCATCTAGACACAAACCAGAACATTCTTGATCATGAAACAGTTTTACACCCCTCGGCTACAACTGTGCAGAAGAAAAGGGTGCAAGGGAGGGGCTGATGCAAATCCATCTGCACTGAGAATCAAGAGTTTTGGGTCCCAATCCTGGCTCCTTTTTCTACCTGGTTTTGTGGGCTTTTAGGATTCAGTAAAATGAGCATTCTGTGGAATGAGGCTGTTATTAAAGGTGAATGATCCTAGCCCAGGACTCTATGGATATCTTACATCCATGAGTGAGATCTGGGGTACTCACAAACTCCTCAAAATGTGTAACATTTGTTTATGGCACAGGATTACTTCTAGAGAAAAAGTTTAGAACTTTAATCATGTCTGCAAAAGGACTGCAGTTCAAATCTGATAATAGGCACTGAACTCTATCATCCCTTCTAGTGCTAACATTCAACCATTCAAATAACAACCCTGAAACAGGTGAACAAGCCAAAACTTTGGGATAACACAAACAGAAAATATTCAGGTGAAACTAGTAACGTGTAATATCAGCCATGCTGCCCACCAAAGATCTGGCACCTGGGTGCCATTGGGTGCTGTCTGGGTGCTGTCTGGGTGTCTGGGACCCTTGGAGCTGGCTAAACCTTCGAACCATTGATCATCAATGGTCAATCAGAACCAGCAAATCAGCTTCCTCCCTTGCTTGGGTGTATTTAGGGTCATCAAGTGGAAAGAATGAGAAGATGTAAAGCGGTGTGTTAGGATGCTAAGAGTTGGAATCAAAGCTGTCCTGCACTGAGCAGCATAAACAGTCATTCCCAGTCACAGCCTGGACTCTACCATGTTGGAATCAAAGAGTAACAGGGTCAGCACAGTGGAAGGAAGTGCTCTCCTCAGCCTCCCTGGATGAAACAGGGTTTGTAAGACCACTGCTGAATGCAGACTGAATTTCCAGCCTTCTAGAAATATGAAAATGACATTGCAGATGGTCCTTATGGTTCAGGTCTGTCTAAGTATCTAAACAGAAGAGCCTTCCCAGCTGGGGAGAGATCGCATCTTCCACAATCCAGTATTGTACTACAGCATTTATTTTCTGATACCACCCATTGTTCCACTGAATCTAGAACTCCTAAGTAGGGCTTCATGACCAAGGTCTGAACCTTCAATGATTTCATTGTAGCTGGCTGATAGGAAAAAAGAGAAGCGAAAGAGCCAGCTGAGCCAGGAAAGGTTCTCCCCATGAGTCAGACACTCTCCAACCCTAGACCTGCAAGAGGGGGGATGCAGGAAGACTCAGCTCTGAAGGACAGCAGATTCATGCTGAATTCTAAATCTGCTGCTTAGCCACTGTCTGCATCAAGCTAGAAGATCACTTAATTTATTTGAGCTTCAGTTTCTTTATGGGTAAAATGTGACAAGAGTAATCTCTAGCCCACAGACTCACTATGTACATAAATGAGGTAAGACAGGGGAAACACTCAGCACCACGCCTGGTCTAGGAGCCCCTTCCAGAGCCATATAATTTTAATGGTGGTGTTGCTGCTGTGAATATTGTCATTATTATTACTGCCAACTGCCATGCACAATGTTGTGTGCTTGTAATCCCAGCGACCTGAGAAGGTAGAGCAGGAAGATGGCAAATTTGAGCCAATGTGGGCAATTTTGCCAGATCCTATGCCAAATTAAAAATCTTAAAAAGGGTTAGGAATATAGCTCCCAGGGGTCAACTCTCAGTATGAAAAATTTACCAGCAGTGTGTATGAGGTCCCCAGCACATAAACAGGTGCCCTGTAACTCATCCATGACCCTTTGGTTTCCTTAACTCCTGACCCTCAGCAGTGCTGCTCCCAGCAGAGGTGCTCAGGGCCACTGCCCTGCCTCTTACCTTCCTTTTGTTGGTGGGATTGACATAGAGGTAACTGAGAACAGTCTTCAGACCCACTTTGTCATTCAGCTTCTCATAGGTGGTGCCATAATCTGTTGATCTGCAATAAGAAAAAGAAAAGAAAAAGGGAGAGATTGTTTTTATTGAGTAGGGGATGATATTGAGAAGGGAGTCATGCTCCCCGGCCCTGCATCTTTGTTCTCCAATCACATGAGTGCATAAAAGTGTTCTTCAGAGATAAAAAGCCCCCCTTAATTTGAGAAGAGCAATTAGACAACACATCTGCTTGGCACCTAGCCTTGTTCTTCACTCCTGGCTCCTGGTCTTTCTCAGAGACCTACTTTCACGCCCTTCATGAAGTTGTGTAATAAAATGAGCTGGCTGCTGACCGCCTGCCCCAGTTGGGTTCTCTGCAGGATGGTGGATGGTGGGTCAAGTCCCCACTGCTCAATGCCCTGTCCAGGAGCTTCAGGTGGACAACAAAGAGAAGATGCCAGATCGTTCCTGGACTTCAACCAACATCATATCCCTTTTATTAAACCTGAAGGAAGAGGACTCTCAAAAGGACAGGCAGTACCCAAGAACTTGTGGGGTCTAATGGCCAAAGGAGATCACTCCAGATAGAAGGTCTAATACCTTACATAGGGGCAGTGGTGTGCTGGGCTGAAAAGCCAATGACACGGAATGGCTTCTAGGGATCCACCCTATCGGTTTTCCTGCTGGATGCCTGCTCCTTCTCTGGACCTACTTTCCTGCACACTGACCTCACAAGCTTAGAAAGGAAAAGCAGTTCACCCTGTGGCTCCTTCCTGCCCACCCTGCCCTTCCACAGAGTGGTACCAGAGAGGTGGAGTCTGTCATGTCTTCCCCCTGGTCCCACTCCCACACCTATCATCAGTGCTCTACCACCTTTCTGCTATCTCCTTCTCTGGCTACATCTGGGCCACCACTCCAGCTCAAATACAGGGAGAACACAGAGGTCAGGGCATGTGCTCCATTGTCAGTCACCCTTGTTTTTACATTCTTTCTTGATCTCAGTCTGCAGCTCCTACTCGGTGCCTGGCTTCGGATCTGTAACCACAACCAGCTGCCACTGCATTTTTTAGCCTTTATCCCCAAACTCTGACCTGATCCTGCCTTGACCTAGAACTGAGCTTGAAAAGGCCAGTGACAAAATCATGCATCGACCTATAAAAAAGTGTTCCCACCTTGAGTCAACCTGGCTTCAGGCTCTGCCAAAGTCACCCTCAACTTCTCTGATGAGGCTTCATTCACCAGCCTTTCCCCAAATGCTACTCATCTCCCCTGTGCACAGGACAGAACACTTTGCCCCTCACCCTGCTGCATCCACAGGGTTCCATGTATGCTTCTTTTCTTTTCATATATGCTTCCCTGACCTCAATTCCTCTATACATCATTCCTATTACCCAAAACAGCTGTCCTTTCTTCCTGATAAACTTCCCTCCAACTTTCAACACCTGACTCTAACGCTGCCATTCCAAATTTCTTACGTGTCTTGATTCCTTCCTTCATTTTCTGCTCCCTCACACACAAGGTTATCTTGAGGACAAAGCTCACAGAACATAAACATTGGGTACAACAAAATCTCTGCTTCATCCCTGTATCTACAGCTTTCCGATTACATAACCATGTGCAATCTACTTATCGCGCTGAAGCTGCATACATCTTCTATGAAAAATAGAGCTAATTTAATCTCACAAGCACTTGTGAGGACACAAAAATAAAACCTACTAGCTGGATATAGTAAACTGAAATGTTAAAAAATAAGAAAAAGATGCATAAGAGACTCTTCTGCATTATACACATTCAGCACATTACTGAATAAATAAATGTCAGTATTTCAAATTCTTCCCTAGGCTACAGGACACATGGTCATCAGCTATGCTAACTTTGATATTCTCCTAAATGTTGGCTTCTTACTGTGTCCTGTCCACCTCATGCCCAGAGCTCTAGGAATCACACCCAATATTTCTCATTGCCTTTATCGCTCAAATCCAATTCAGTATCTGCCTTCCGGATTCTCTCTGCTAAATAACTTAGATCCCCAATGTCTTCTCCATTTCCATGCCACTGTGTGGCTCACAGGGTTGTGTGTGTGTGTGTGTGTGTGTGTGTGTGTGTGTGTGACACCAAATATCCTTTGATGCTCTTCTCCCTTCCACCCCCTCTTCCACATTGTTATCAGCTTACACCAGGATCTGTCCATGTCACCTCCAGGCCACGATCACCCACAGTCAGTCACCCACATTTTCCAAGCTTAGTCTTGTAAAATCCAGCTTCAGTCTTCCTTACAGGATCCATTTCTGGTCACTTGCTCTTGTACTCCTCTCTCACAAGCCTCACTAAGCTTTCCTAAATGCGTCCTGAATTGTCACTGTCCTCCACTCCTGTATGCATCATTCCCATATCCAAACCAGTCATCCTTTCTCTTGGTAAACGAAGTTGCTCACAGAGAAATTAATCGCAATTCCCATGTGTACTCCCACACCAGCTTTGTATATAGTCTAACATGCCATCCTATTTTTCATCAATACTGGCTTTATTCTGGAACTTTTCTCTTAACTGGTACTCCTATAAACAGAATCATTACCTATAATGCAAGGAATGCCTTGTGTCATGCCCGATAAAAAGAAAGTTCAGATACAATGATGCCATGAACTCAGTTCTCTCCACAACTCTGGTTGCAACCAAACTGGACAAGAACCGAATCATATTTCTCCATTAGGTCAACACTTAACCTACCCATTGAATTTGATTCGGTTCTCAAAACTCCATTTACAACCAGAATTGTGGAAAGAATCAAGTTTGTAGAATCATTATGGTATTTTTTTTTCTTTGCCTTTATTTGTGAGAACTCTCACAAATGTGTGAATGTGTAAATTGGTCCAAACATTCTCCACAGTTCTTAACCAACTGCTAAGGTTTAGTGATAACTCAGTACATTGCCATTCCTAGAAACCACTTGTGGCCCAGTGGATACTGTCATGACTGCACAAATTGTTGAGCCTCTGGTGCCACAAAGGACCTGCAGTCTACTTTTGCTAGGGTGAAGATGAAACGACCAGCTGACCCATCACACGAGCAACTACATTCCCTGGTGCACCATAAGAGACAAGCCACAATCTCTAGAGACTGTTAGCACATGCTTTTATTAACTCAAATACAAATATTTTGTAGAATGAAATACTTCTTGTTTCTACATTCCTTATAACAGAGATATAGCATGGTGTGAGAAAACAACACTGAGCTTAAAGTCTGGAAATCTGAATGCCAGAACAGATGCATCCGAAGTATATTACCTGGGACAAGCCACTTCTCTAAGCTTGTAATTAAAAAAAAAAAAAATTATTCGGGCTCCTATGAAAACGTTAAGCCAGACTTTGTTCAAAACATCAACAATAAGTACAAATAACATCTCCATGGGGTTTGTGGTAGGAGAGAGAGATTTAGCTCTATTCCAAATTTAAAGAAAAGTGGGAATTTATAACCAAGGAGCAGGGAGGGGTCAGTAGATGGGAAATTCCAAGCTGCTGGGGTAATTCTTTGCTAAACTCACCTAACAGAATTTCTGCAGAATGCAGACTAGGAAGCTCAGATATTACAATGGAGGATATCACATAGCCAAGTAGAGGAGTTCAGGCTAAACTGTCAGTATTTTTGCTAAAATTGGGCTCTTGAGAATATGCCAAAGTTTAGAGCCCAGTTAAAAAGAGCTTGAAAGAGACTAACAAGAATTTGGTGCAGAAGAGAAGCTTTGCTGAGTCCCATTCTATAGTGTTAGATGTTTAACTCAGATAATCATAAGGCTCCTTATAGACCTTAAATTTTATTATCTCACCAACATAAGGCTCTGCTGTTTTCCAACTAGTAACTCTCCCCATAATAGCTAAAGCAAACAACTTGTAAGAGCTAAATTCTCAGGGCTCCCTGCATGACTGATATCATAACAAACTTCCTTCGAGAATCCAAATAACCCTCATCAAAGGCAGCAAGCTTAGCACCACGCACAGTCTCTCTGCACAAGCCGGATTAACAGTGCCTTTGCTCTTCTCCAAAAGCAACTGCTGAGAGTAGAGGCATCCCAACAAACGATGCTCTCTACAGCCCATCCTCCTCCAGGCCTCCAGCAGTCTGCTCATCCGGTCTAACACCGAAGACACCTGCAGGAGCCAGGATGCCTCAACTGCTGTGTCAGCGTGGATGCTGCACGTGGCCTTGACCACAGCATTCTGTGGGCCCACATGGCCTGAGAGGGGCAGATGGCAGAGAGAGCTCAGCTTCATGGCCAAACTAGCTCCAACAGCAAAGCAAGCCATTTTACACCTTGCACCTGCAGACATGTGCTGGGGCAGGGATAATTTAGAGGAAAGAGGCTCAACACAGCTCAGTAAACTCAGCCTCCCAAATTCTGACACTGGTTTTACAAAACAGAAATGCTCAGTGCACCAACACATGTACCGGACAGCCACCACAGGCCAGCACTCCACCAGTCTGTGTGTGCAGTTGCTCAGGCACACAGCCAGCCTGGACAGCCATACATGAGCTGTGGGCAGCCACAGAGCCCAGGTGGCTCTGGCTCCTTCACACTGGGGTGTGGAGTATGTGCACACACGTGTGTGGCATGGTCCAATGAACACATGTTGTACATGGCTTCTTATGCATTTGTGAAAAAAAAGTGTTCTCAGGGAGCCATCTCCTTGTGGAGTGCCCGGGTCATGCTGTTCTCTATGTGCAACTTCTACCTTGCTGGATATTGACATGTCTTCCAAGAAGGCTGAACCTCCAAAGATACATGACTCCTCCACTTCTCCACCAGCCAGGGCCTTGTGCATCCTCTGCCTGAGCACTCACACTACATTGCCAGGTGCCCCGAGACAGCAGGCACCTCTCTCTTTTGCTTCCTAGAGGTGTGCAGGCTATTACAGAGGAGGACAGTGACTCCCAGGCTAAACACTCCCACCCTGCCACAGACCTCCCCTGTCATCCCGGCAGGTGTCAGACAGTCCCAGTGAAGACTGCTGCATTACTGGCCAGATCTGCACATGCCTGGCTGCTCTCTGAGGACCATGCCACCAATGA